AACCGGTCACGTCATCTCCGTGGAAACCGGTCACGTCATCTCCGTGGAAACTGGTCACGTCATCTCCCAGGAAACTGGTCACGTCATCTCCCAGGAAACTGGTCACGTCATCTCCGTGGAAACTGGTGACCTCATCTCCCTGGTGGCTGGTGACATCACCATTCTTGTACCCAGTCAGTTCAGCTCCTTTGCTGCCTGTTGAGTGGGGCTCCACAAAGCTGGTCAATCCGGGCCCCGTCAGGCTGGTCACCCGCTCCATCTTCTGCTCCTCCTCCTTCTTGGCCTGCAGCAGCCTTTCCCTCACAGTTGGCCTGGCCCGCTGTTTGTCCCCGTCTCCTTTCATCATCTGGCCCAGCTTCTCCACCACATCAGCCGCCATGTGGTCATCCTGCATCATCATTTTCTCATCGGTCACCATCTTCTCGATGACGTTGTGCATCACCTCGTCCACCACCTTGTGCACGGCCTCCACCACGATGCTCACCACCGTTTCCACCTGCTCCTGAGGTGCGCCCTGCCCCGTCTCCTCCTGCTTCTCCTCCTTGGTGGGCGGTGGGGGGATGCTCTTGACCTGGGCGTCGTGCTTGAGGATGGACTTCCTCTTGGGCTCCTTGGCCCCCTCGCGCTGGCGCTGTTGCCTCTCAGCTGCCTTGGCGCTCTCCTCCCTCTGCAGCTCACTCACCCGCTTCGCCATGCGGTCCAGGGTCTGGTCAATCTTCTCCACATCGTCAATGATCTTCGCCATCTCCGCCACTGTGTTGCCCTGTGTCTTCTTGCCCCCGTCCCTGTTCCTCCTGCGCTCCCCCAGCTGCTGGAATGCCTGCTTCACGTCGTCGGTGCGTGGCCGATGGCTCTCCTTCCTACGCCCTACCCAGCCGACCCCGTGGACCGCTTCCTTCGCTGGCGGGTCCTGCCTTCCCTGCCTCTCGCGCTTCGCCTGCTGCCCCGTCTTCCCCCGCTCCTCCTTCACTCTCACCTCCCCTTTTGCCCCCATCCTCCTCCTCCTCCCTCAGCGCTGCCCTGCCCCAGTTGCAAGATCCCGGATCCCTTCCCGTGCGGGCAGATCATTTGCTCACTGGCGTGCAGCAGGTACCATCGTTGTTCTGTGGGTTGGCTCTGACAGGCCCGGGTTTGTGGTGGCCCCCGGTCTCGTGTAGGTGCACTTCTTGACCTCAGAAAGGCTGTCGCTTTCCGCCCCCCGCCCTGTATCTTCACTCCTCTGATGTCACCCCCTTGATTGTTCCCTGCATCACGGACATAACAGCTCAGCAAGACCGCGGTTTAATAGCTGCTGGGGCCAGCCAGGAGAGCACTCAGCTTCTGCTCAATCATTTGGCAGAATGTCCCATCAAACCTGCCCCACTCTCCTTGGTGGCTGAATCCTCGGACGTCACCAGGTGGGCAAGCAGCTTTAGCGGGGCAGGCTCGAAGGGCTGAGCGGCCTACGTCTCCTACTTTCCATACGTCTTGTGTCACAGGGAAGTTGAGAGATAATGGCGTGGGTGGGGGAAGAGACCTTAGAGAGACTCAAACACATGGGTGAGAATTTTAATACCAGCAAGCACGGGCCTGGGGCAGGAGGAGTGGCACTTGGTAAACAGTAGGATACAGGGTAGTTTGTAGTTTTGATGTCAGTCATCATTCGGCTCACAGAGTGAGTGGCTGTCTCTGTTGGTCAGTAACAAAGAGGGGCCGAATGGTTTGGGGGTGTTACTGCAGCTCACAGTTGCGCTTCCCGTTCGCACAGAGTGAGTGACTCCTTTCCATTCGCGTGGCTCCTCAAGAATCTCTCCCGCTCTTTCTGACTCTTCTGATCCACACTCGGAGCACCGTGCACGGTTCCCGTCTCCCTGTCCCTCGGTCAGACCCACACCGGGAGCACGGCTCCAGTCTCCCTGACCCTCGGTCAGACCCACACTCGGAGCACGGTTCCCGTCTCCCTGTCCCTCGGTCAGACCCGCACTCGGAGCACGGTTCCCGTCTCCCTGTCCCTCGGTCAGACCCACACTCGGAGCACGGTTCCCGTCTCCCTGTCCCTCGGTCAGACCCACACTCGGAGCACGGTTCCCGTCTCCCTG